CCCCAAAACCCCAAAACCCCAAAACCCCTTTATTCAATATCGATTCAAATTGATGAATTAAGGTTCTAAAAAAATAATAATAATTTAAAGAGATTCTAAGATAGTACGATTACATTTTACTTTCAAGTTAATAAAATTAAAATGGAAACCCAAGTCAATTAAGATATATCTAAGCTTGGATTTTGTGATCTGCACAACATCGATCTTTCTCCATATCATCAGGTATCTAGTATTTTTGCTCCTAATATATTTGACTAGATGTTTATAGATGCAGTTAATTTGGTTATTGACACTAAGAAAAGAGGGGCTCACCATGTTGACATCAGAGATATTTTACATGATAGACTACCTCACCCTGGGCTAGTATTTATTGTCACTCACGATTTGCTCGTCAAAGGAACGCTCTTTATAAATTAATGTACGATCAAAATTTCATTCAGGTATCAATAGGTCATACATAATTTGCTACTTAGAGGCTAACAGATAAGTATCATACAATTCAGGAAAGTACCTAAATAAGCTTTCCAGGTTATATCTATTCAGTATAGAAAATTCTTATTCCTGATTCATAAAGATGCCTCAATTTTGGAAAACTCTAAAAAATATTATTGAGCCCTAAAGAATCACTTCAAGATGAAGATTAATGGATGATTGAAACTCCTCCTATGTTTTTAGATGGTCATCCATTAAATAACAGAATATTACTAGCGACTTTTCCTAGAACAGGAAATTCGTTTTTGAGATAATATCTTGAAAACATAACAAATATAGTGACTGGTACAGATATGGACTTTGCAGTTAATTATGAATTAGGGTTAAATGGCTTCAAAGGTGAAGGACATGTTGATGATCGAGTTTGGATTTAGAAGTCACATTACCCACTTTGATCTTTCTATCATGAATAAAGTAAAGGAAATCGTGTAGTTGCCACAATCAGAAATCCGCTTGACACATTGGTCTCAAGATATGAATTAATTTGCACCCATCTTCAATCTTTTAAATTCTCAGACTAATATTACGAATAGAATAGAGATCATTTCCATGCTTTTATTTAATCTTGTATGGCTTCTTATTAGTAACACGCTCTTTAACTAATAGAAGAGTGCAAAGCTGAAAGCATTCCTCTCTATTTTATAAGGTATGAAGATTTATTATACAAGCCAAAAGAGACTCTTATAGATCTATTTTAATTTATGATGGGTTGTGAGAATATTGAAGGCTCCTTAGTACACTAATTGATAGAAAAAGCAGTAAATACAATGAATAAAGGAAAAACAATTTACAAAGTGCAAAACATTGGAGTCAATAAGCATAGATCTAAGTATAATCAAGAGATGATTAATTAGGCAGCCAATGAACTCCATTGGTTTAATCATTTCTTTGGCTACACATAAATGGATGGGAATGATGAGAATAGTTTTGATGTTTTCTAATATGATGAAGAAACGAAGAATTAAGAAATTTATTTACAATATCTTAATCACAATAAGTAAGCGATGAAACAATCGCTCAATGGGCACCTTGAAAATTGGTTTACGACATATAAGCCTGGAAAAATACTGGAAAATCATGCTGGATTCCAAGGTGTCATTAACTTGCCGTGAAAAATATCATTTTTAAGTATTTAAACTTTAGGTTTCCAAGACTGATATTTAAATTTTAAAATAAATTATTTGGAATAAAACATCTTTTCGCATTATAAATTAATTGATTTGGGGTTTTGGGGTTTTGGGGTTTTGGGG